GTTGTTAAATCATTTTTTTTAATTTAATTGTATTTAAATTCAATTAATTAACATATAGTATACTATTAATTTCTGGAGTAGAGTTCTGTGATTCATCAATTGTATGTAACACCCAGTGCTTATTACTTCAGGTGCCCTGTGAGGTCATTTTAAATTCACCTCATTTAGGTGAACCAGGGAAATGGGGCTCCTGCAAATCCCTAAGGATGGATACCTCTAGAGTATCCAGGGAAAAAGCAGACAGAGAGAGACTGTTTCAGTGAAAGTCCCTCCAGGTTTATATACGTTATGTACCAAGGCTCTGTTTTAAGTTTTGATCGAACTATGTATTCCAAGAGTAAAAATAAGAGTCAATCATAACGACAGTGACAAAAATGGCAACATTATTATGAGATTAGCTCTTCAAGAAGATACTTTACAACCTTAAGATTTTATGCTTCTAGATGAGTTTTCTTGGGAAAATACATCTGAGTTTTTAATGGCTTGTCATGACTGAGGGAGTCTCCTTTGTCCTGTAAATAGACAGGACACTATTCAAATACTGTTTTTTCCCCTTACTCTCCCCCTTCCTCCACTCTTTTTTCCCTCCCTGATATTCCATTCTTCTGCCATTTTCTTCCTTTCCTTCCTTTATGTTAATGTATAAATTGGTTAAAGTTCTAAAATACTAAAAAAAAAAACTGTATAATAGAATAAAATATATCTATCTATGTATTTCTCTTATATTAACATTCCATCACTTGAAAATGAATGAGTAATTAGTATAACTGATGTGGACAATATATTGGACCCCTGAAACTCACTTGCAAGGTTTGTTCACAATTTAGAAACCCAAGACAAATGACCATTTCAGATTCTGAGTTTTTGCTGCTGCTGATGATTTATAAACGACTTTTGAGAGCAAATGTCCAGATTTAGGAAATTAATCTATAGTCATGGTTAATAATATCAATGGAGAAAAGTACAACATAAAGTATTATTAATTTATGATATACATTTATTTTTTTAATTAAGTTTGGGTTTTGTTTTGTTCTGTTCTGTTACCCCAAAGGCATTAGATTCTCATTCCATAGCATTCCAGCCTCACTGGTTCATGTAGTTTCCCTCGTGTGTGTGTGTGTGTGTGTGTGTGTAGATGTGTTTGGTTTTCGTGGGGTTTTTTTGTTCATTTATTAACTCATTCATTTTCTTTCAACTCATTTTCTTTTCTCACTTCCTTCCTCTGTTCATGAGCAACTATTTATAATTTATGTAATTTCTGTTATTTTTTTGGAAAATACATAATACTGGGTACAAGTAGCATTTTAATGTACATGAAATGTCCTTATCCTGTAGACAGATCCTATTTCTCACTTGGTTTTAGTTGGAAAATAGTTTTAAGGTGAATCCACCTCTTGGTTAACACCCGGTATGGTCTTTTTCTGCACCCTCTCCAGGTATTTCCATCTGGAACACTTACTATACTCTCATTGTCCCACTTCTCCTGATACTGCCTCCGCCCACAAATAGACACTCAGCAAGATTTCTGAGTCATACGGTATACTTGGGTTTACTTTCATGATGTTCTGCTACATTGCCCTCCAGAGGGGTGCACTTATCTGCATTCCCATTAAAATAATTGCATGTTTATAAATTGTAGACAAGCGGTTGTTTTATTTTCCTGTGACATAGTCATAGTATTCTCACATCACAGAGTGGGGTAAATCTGAACATCATCCTGTAAGTTTAATCTCCTTTGAAGTCAGGGTCCCCTGATCCTACATCCCAGTCAACACATGGTATTTTCTGGTTTTTAAACTTTTTGCAATACGATGAGAACTAAGGAGTATGTCATTATTGCTTTAACTTGTACTTTCTAATCATTATTGAGTCTGGGTCTTTTTATATATACTTTGAACACTTTTAAAATTCTTTCTGTCTGGGTCATCTTAGTTTTACTAACTGCCAGGATGTTTCTGCTTTTTTCTAGTAGAGTATCATTTTTTATTAATTTTTTTGACAGCATACAATATTAGACACAAGGTGGTGATCACCACGTAAGTGACTAATTGTGTAGTGCCTGCCACTTACTAGGTCCAGAAAAAATAGTTGTGCAATAAAAAAAAGTCATGAGATTTTATATGTGTTTGGACATACCTATGATTTCAACTGTTAGCACATTAATTTTAATCCATAAGATGTTTGTGATGTAAGGGTAAATAATAAATATAGACAAAGAAATAACACACATGAAATTGTGTATTATAAAGAATAGCATTTACCAGTTTTAGGAGATATAAAGTTAAGGAATCCCAGAAGTTATAAAAACCCATAGTTGAGAATGTTTTATGTTGAGTGATATTTTTTTAATTCAAACATTACCTGACTATTGTCTTTTTTGGTGTTTGATAACATGTTAAGTATAAGATTGTAAGCAACAAATCCTGTCGTCAGTTGTTGCACATTGAATAAAAATTCAGATGGTCTTAGTTTTCCTATTAAAAGCCATTAGTATAGGTACTTTATAGGGATATAATTGAAACATCATCTGTCCACTATCAAAGTTGAACAATTCATTAACATACATGTTGATAGAATTTAAATATAAAGAAAATGTAAATGCTGAATAATAGATATAGACATGCATGTGTACACTGTATTCCAGGAATTATTTCTAAAACAAAGTCAGAGTACAGTTATCTTCAGATTGACTCTGCTTCCATTTAATCAATTAAATGATAAAATATTACTTTAGTGAACCTCAATATAGCATGATCATGTTCAACAAATGTTTATGTGCATTTTAAAATAGTTTATAGGATTTTGCAATTAACATTTTTCAAGAATGTTATATTTGAGATCATATCATACTTAATTCTTACAATTATTAGAACCTTCTTATGAATTAATAAGGAGTGATGGGTTATATTCACTTGGTTTCTTTAGTATGGTTCTTGTAGGATTTGTTAGGTATTTGGAGAGGCGGTGGATAGGAAAGGTGTTACTAAAGGACTAGTCGCAAGTCACCACATTCCCTGTAGTATCTGATACTCACCATTGGAACCAAGTACTGGCAAAATCTTTTGAACCACAGTCCTGCACAAACTCTGGTGGAAAAGTGAAAGGAGAAAAGAAGCTTGGTCTGTGTATCATGGAACAGAACAGGTGGTGTAGTTTATGACCTCAGGTGTATTTCTACACAAGATTCTAGTTATTTGTTGTGGGGTTTTTTTTTTCAGCAATTTTATTAAAGATTTTAGATAGTTTTCCCTTTGTAATACTAGAAGCATTTTTTAATTTCATTAAATAATTATGTTTTGTAAATTTGCCCCTTTATTTTGAGAGGTGAAAAATAAACAAGTTAATCCAAGAAAAGAAGCATGAAGATTTTGCAGCTGTTTCTCTTCATAGAATATGCTCTTGCCGAAAAGTGACAATGCAATTATAACACTATAATTTGTTTCAATTCAAAATCATCTGTATATAAATATACTCTTTATGCTGACTTTTTCTTTAAAAAGTGTGTTTTCCAGTGTGCTCTTCCTTTTGTACTGCTGTATTTTTCTTTAGTGATATCATCGTTGTCTCTTACGTAATTTTCTCATTTTATATGTACAACAGCCTGGGATTGTTGAATTAAACCTAAGGCCCATCTGAAGATAAAGTTTTGTTGGAGTAAGTTCTAGAAAAGCCATTTTTGTTTGTGTTATTGTGGATATTTTTATGGACTTCTTTTGCCATTTCACTGTAGTAAAAGAATTTGCCATACTTGTTTGCAACCAGTAATATGCTTTCCAGTGTATATCAAAATCATTAAAACTTTCAGTTTCAGTTATGCCATGTTTAGAGTTTTCCACTGAAGCCAATGGTGAGCAGGAGAGAATGTCACATAGGCATCTGTGAAGCTCATTAAAAACCCAGTTGTTCAAGTGTTTCTTTTTGTTTCAATTATAACTCAGTTAGGGCATACATTTATTTTCTTAGGTAAAGCTGGTAGCATTCACAAATATTTCGGCACTATAACTTGAATAGTTTCATCTAATTTCTACTCATTTCACATAGATACGTATTAGGACCAGATGATTCATGCCAAATATGTACTCCTAGATTATTTTGACAGCTCATGTGAAATGGAGCAAAGAAACAAAATTTAAAATGTTGAAAAATTGTTACTACATTTTAGTGAAAATTATCTTTCTAGACAGAGAGGAAACGTGAAATGCCCTCTAATTAATGCAGCATAATTGAGGCTATCCAGCACAAAAAAAGAAAAAAGAAAAAAGACTTCGTGTTCTTTGTTGAAACATTATTAAGAATTTCAAAATGGTTACAGTGAACCATTAAACCAAGCATGGGCCTTTCTGAGCACACGGCCTTGTCCTACCACACAGGCCACACCCCAGCCACCGCCGCCCCTCCTCCCCCCCACCATGAAGCTGTCCTCTCTGTAACATGCCTACTAATTCTACTCAGGGATGCCTTGCATGCAGTGAAGAAAAAGGAAAAAATTCCCCATGGAAATCTGTCTTATCTGAGCAAAGTTGAAGCAATTAACAGTTTCTCGAGGGGACCTTCACAACAAGCTATTAATGACTTTCTTCCCCCTTTCCCATTCCATGATGGAATATGGAAGTTTATACTCTTCTAGATGCTTGTTCCCCGTGGGAAAATTATACTGATTCTTGTAATGGTATTTTTTTCTGACACAAAATTGGCCTAAGTAATATATGTTCAATAATGTTTTCTTTATTAAAGCAGTGTAAACAAAATGCATGTGTTTAGTAATACTTGATAGGCTTTCAAAACCAACATTTTGCATGTTGTAATAGACATGTTTGGTGAGTTCAGGTGAGTGATGAGAGCAAACTACGTACGGTTGTGGTATTGATGTTCCAGAGAACTTTGAACTGTGTTCTCTGAAATGGTGTGCTGAGTTGGTTTTTAAATGTCTTCTATGCCATACGGACCCCAACTAGAAATATAACACATGTCTTATTTTATAATTGCATTTGTCTTTTTAGGGATGCAAGTATTGGAGTGGAATGGAATTCCTTTAACTTCTAAAACGTATGAAGAAGTGCAGAGTATCATTAGTCAGCAAAGTGGGGAAGCAGAAATATGTGTAAGACTGTGAGTTTTTCCCCATCTTTTTGTTTCCATTTTTTGGCTATTCATGGCTCTTTTAATTTAAAATTGTTAAGGTGGAACCTTTGCCAGTCGGCAAGATTTACAGTAATTAGAAAATAAAGTGAATACAAGTTTTATAGATTTCTTGTGTTCAGAATCAAAGTCTAAAGAATAGAAAGAATTCAGCTAATTTTGTGTCTGATTATGTCAATAGTTCTCCCCTTCATTTAAATGAAAGCCTGAACCCATTTAGAGTTCATGTCTGTGTATAGTATTTCAAAAAGAACTTACACTTAATCCATAAAGATTTCACCTTAAATAATCATTTTTATCAGCTGACTTTTAACAGCATTGCAAATATATATTTGGTTAGAAGGGCGAGCATGCTTGGAAATTGCTTTATATCATTGACCACTTCTCATTTACCTACTGAAAAAAAAATCAGGGTAGTCGGAAAAAAAGGGACTTTTGTCTCCGGTTTCCTCAATTTCTTTCTTAATTTCTTTGTTTTAAATTTTTAGGGACCTCAATATGCTTTCAGACTCTGAAAATCCCCAGCACCTGGAACTTCATGAGCCACCAAAAGCTGGTAGGTGAAAGTCATCTGCTTTCAACCAGGGGTAAAAGGGAAGATGTAAGTGTAATGATAGTTGTAGGAGCAGGTGAAGCCATAGATGAAAATATAAACACAAGCATAGATAGTGTATGGGCAAAATGTACTTATAGACCAATGTCTATTTATCTACGTAATCATAAGCAGAATCAAAAGCCCTGCAGCAACGTTTTTTAGCATTCTAGAGGAACACATACTTGTGTGTTTGACCTATGAAAGAAATTCATACAGAATTCTTGCTGTGTGAGTTTACATTTTTAATTCTTAAAAAATAAACTCATCCTGCCAGAGCAGTCCATGGAGCCATTTATTTGGGATCTTATAGCATTTTTAGATAATACTTGATTCTTTTTAGCATAACTGGACTATAGAACACTCATTCTTGAACCTTTTGTCTTTTCATGATAAAGAAAAACAAAATCAACATGTAATTTCATAAGGACCTGATGAGATTTAACTCTTTCTGAGCTGACAACTAGAGTCTTCTAAACGTAGATCCATTATTCCATGAAAAAATATCACTTCTTTCTTCATTTAACCAGTATTTACTGACCATTTCCTCTGCTACAGCCAGCATTCTCAGAGTCTGGGTGTCTGCACTAAAGAACAGACCCAGGCCTGTAGAACTTTTCATCCATCTGTGCATGTCAATTACCTTGTCATCTAGAACTTGCGTAAGCTCCGTGGTATTGAGTAATGATGAAACTGGGAGATACATAGCCACTCCGTTTTGTTGTAGTAGATAAAGCGAAATCCCCAGGGGTTGATCCTAAGCAGTTGGCAGCAGAGCTCCAGAAGGTCTCCCTGCAACAGTCACCGCTGGTTCTGTCATCCGTCGTGGAGAAAGGATCTCACGTTCATTCAGGCCCTACATCAGCGGGATCCAGTTCCGTTCCCAGCCCCGGGCAACCGGGGTCCCCCTCCGTGAGCAAAAAGAAACACAGCAGCAGCAAGGTGAGAAGTTACTCTGAGTTACTTATTTTCTTGCTCTTTATTCAGACGAGGACAGAGGAACTCCAGTATCATTTTCTAAGGTGTTTTTCCTGTGGTTTCTCATTGGAGTGAAACAAGAAAATTTCCATTTCTTAGTATATAACTGATCAAAGTGTTGTGACAATGATGTATTTCTGCATCTCTTTAAATATTTTAGCAGTTATTATTATGAGGCATATGCACAGTGTGTCTGATGCTTCATAATTCCTGCTTCTTTCTCGTAGTTGTTGCATAAATCTGAGCTCCTTTGTATATGGCACATTAGCCTTCCATCTTTTTGGGAACACAGGATACATATTACACTGGATTTGGTAATTTAAATAAAAAATATAAAGGACACAGAGATAAAGAATGTAGGACAATGAGAAATGAGGAAAACCTGTAATATAAAATTGCCTCTTTGAATTTTATACCTAATGCCATACTAATTAGGGAGCCTGGGTGGCTTAGTCTGTTAATGTTCAGCTCTTGATTTCAGCTCAGGTGCTGGACTCAGGGTCATGAGATCAAGCCCCACCTTGGTCTCTGCGCTCCATGGGAGTCTACCTGAGACTCTCTTGCTGCCCCTTCCCCCCCCCCATGCACACACATGCGCTCTCTCTCTCTCTCTCTCTCTCTTAGATAAATGGATAAATCTTTTTAAAAAAAGAAAAAGAGGGGCACCTGGGTGGCTCAGGTCAGGGTCCCAGGGTTCTAGGATCCAGCCCACATTGGGCTCCCTGCTCAGCAGGAAGCCTTCTTCTCCCTCTCCTGCTCCCCCCGCTAATATTCCTTCTGCTGCTGTCTCTGTCTGTCTCTCTCTCTCTCTGTTTCAAATAAATAAGTAAAATCTTAAAAAAAGAAATAAGGAAAACCAGTAATGTAAAATTGCCATTTTGAATTTTATCCCTAATTCTATATTAATAAATTTTCCCTTGTTGCAAGTCTTCATTTGAAATAAATGTTTATGACACTATTATTTCCAAGCTACTGAGCTATTAAAAGAAAACATAGAATTAGTTTTTTAACCTTATAAAAGCAGATGAAATGTAGACAGTTTGTGGCTTTTTCTTCATAGATTTGATACTTACTAGGGAAATTCTCATTGTGGTCAATAAATATATTGGAAAAAGTATTCTCTTGTTTAAGCATGAATAAAGATTTCTGTTTACATGGTAAGATATATGAGAGGGACAGGCTACGCTTGGGTAAACCGACTGCTGGACTTCAGAAAACAAAGTTTGTTTTGCAAAGTATAAAAACACAACAGGTGTCCCCCCAAATCCCTTTTATTCAGAAACAGACAACAAAGGTATATAATGTTGGATGTCATTAAAAAATGCAGTGAGGGCTTGAAGAGTGAGATGAAGAAAGCTGGTGTTTAGCTAATGAACTGATTCAGTAATGGGGATACAGGGACCAACATTCCCAGCAGAGAGTGCGACATGCAAAAAAAATCTCAGAAACAGAAATTGCCTGCTGAGAATGTCTGTGTACAAAAAAATACAGGGATAAGAAATAAAGGAGAAGCCTAGATGGTTGTAAATTGGAGGATATTAGGTGCCCTGCCTGGCTTTTACACTGCAGTCTGCAGGAAATGAAGAGTCAGTGATAAGCCGTGAGCAAAAATGAAGTAAGAATAACAGGAAGCCTTTGTACATGAAATCGCTCCACAGTCCAGTCCTGCCTTAAAATTAGAAGGTAGCCTTTTTCCTTTTTTCCTCCCTCTGAAGTGCCCCATGCTTTATGCATCTCTTAAGACAATTTGTATTTTTTTTTAATATTTTATTTATTTATTTGAGGGATAGAAAGACAGTGAGAGAGAGAGCACAAGCAGAGGGGAGAGGGAAGAGCAGCCTCCCTACTGAGCAGGGAGCCCAATGCTGGATCCCAGGACCCCAGGATCATGACCTGAGCTGAGGGCAGGCGCTGAACCGACTGAGCCACCCAGGCTCCCCAAGAATTTGGAACTTGATTGTAGCTACTAGTCTTCCTAGTTAGGCCGCAAGCTCCTTAAGAACCAAAACCCCTTTCTTACTTTCTCTGTGCTATTTAATCACATGGTAGAGGGGCTTATGCAGTATAGGAACAAAATAAATAAATGTTGTGAATTAAAGCATCATTGGCACTTGTAAGTCTCTATACTATTACAGAGGTGCAAAATTTGATTTTTTGTGATAGGTTAACTGTTTTGGCAGTGAATAGAAGATGAAAACAAGTATAATAGGACGAACATCAAGGAAATGAAATTGACATGTTTTATGATATGCAGTAATTCTTTTCCATGTCAGGAATGTGGCCTGTGTGGTTTTACTGTATTTTTGCTGGAATAAAAATTTGTAGAATTGTATTGTCCATAATGATAGTCACATGTAACAATCCAGCCCTTGAAATATGGCTAGTCTGAACTGAGATATACTGTAAATGTGAATTAATGCCAAATTATCAAGACTTACTATGAACAAAAGAATATAAATCATCTCATTACAATTTTGATATAGATTTCATGGTGTAATTATAATACTTTGAGTAGATTGAGTTAAATAAAATACATTATTAAAAATTAATTTCACTGGCTAATTCTTACATTTTTAATGTAACTGCTGGAATATTTAAAATTACTATGGTCTCATATTCTACTCTTCAGTGATGATATAGAGATTACTTAGCTCTTACCAGTAATAATAACAATAATCAAATCTAATCACTTTTGGGATATATATGTATATAATATTAAATGTACATTTTTAATTGAAATATATACTCGCTAGATGGTAACACTTGAAGAAAGAGATTGTTACCTATTCATTTCTTGGGGCATTTATCTCCAACGTTTAGCTGACATAGTTTCTTGAAATATTTTCTGTGAATGAATGAATGAATGAATAGATAAATTTAGTGATATTTCTTGACCCATCAACATGAGGTATTCATAAAAGGCAATGCATTTTTTCATTTGTTCTCCAAACCTACAATGTTAAAGAATTTATATTGAGAAATCAGGGAAATATTGAGTGATGGTCTGAAACTGCCATATCCCTCAGTCAGATAATATGTCCACATATATCATATGTTCTTCAGATAATTTATAGAATTGTGACTTTAACTCCTTTGTGTTTTCATTAAGGTATGAGACTAGGTATTAAATTACAAAACATTGAAATGGAATGCATTAAAACTAAAATATTTGAATATAGTTAGCATAATTATACATTTGGATACTTAGAATACCATCTAGTAAACATTCTAAACAATTATTCCTAAGTAATTATTAATCTGTTAATACTCAAGTGATTTCTTCTCACTCGTTGTAAGTAAAATATGAATCAAAATTATTTAAGTACATGTTTAAATTATATAAGCTATGTATATGACTATTTTAAATGATTATTTTGCTTAAACTAATTCAGCATGAATTTTTATCTTCAAAATTTTTATTTTACCACCTGCAGCTGTTTGTCTCTGAGTCGGGGACATCAGCTCTCCATTTGTACAAACACTGCATTGAAATGTAACAAGTCAGCAGTCAGCCATCAGTCATTTTCTTCAGCGTTAGGAACCAGCTTACCAGATCACATTCCTAACTGTTCTTAAAGCTTTACTGACATAAGGAACTTACTAAGGAAGTGAGAACTTATATAGAAGAGGATAGAACTTTAATTAAGTAATGTGAAATACGGAGAAGCCATTGTCTGGGTGCTTCACTCTAGAAGGGAGCAGGCAGGGGTTGAGCACCCACTGAAGGAGCACAGGGATGGACTTCTCTACCCTCTGTACTCCCAAGCACTCATCATCTAAAAACAAGGTCCTTTTTTTTTTTTTTTTTTAAGATTTTATATATTTATTTGACAGAGAGAGGTAACACAAGCAGGGGGAATCGTGGGGGAGGAGAAGCAGACTCCCTGCTGAACTGGGAGCTTCATGCAGGGCTCGATCCCAGGACCCCGGGATCATGACCTGAGCTGAAGGCAGACGCTTAACGACTGAGCCACCCAGGGCCCCTAAAAACAGTGTCTTTTTCATTTCTCTATAGATCTTTAAACCCTGTAAATGCTTAAATTGAGTACTTTAAACCAAAGTACTCATTTCATTAAGTAATTGAAAATGCAGTCCCACAGATATAAAGTTATAACTTTAAAACAGACTGAGCAAAGTGAAAAAAGAGATTTCTGTATCTGTAATATTAAATACATATTGAGAAGGAGAAGTAGACCCCATGATCTAAGCAGCCAAATGGGTGAAATGCATTTTGCAGGCGGGGTGCTCTGACCAAATAGAAATTAATTCCAGAAGGAAGTTGAAATGGTAAATTTTGTGAAAGGTGTATCCATTAATAAAATACATGTTTTTAACATTGCAGCCCACTGATGCAACGAAGGTTGTCTCTCATCCAATTACGGGGGAAATTCAGGTAAGGAAGTTTTTTAAAAATCATCATTGTGCCATCTTCATTGGTTGTTTTTTCTGCCTACCCTGGTCTGCTGAAATTGTAAACACTGTTAGGACCTTTCCTGTTTTAGATGTATGATATATCACACATACACACCTGAGTACAGACCTATGAAGGAAAAATGCAATTTTATAGGATAGCATTTTAGTACAAATATATAGTTTATAATTATAATGTAATTATAGGTATGTAATTGTATAATTTGATATGTATCTGTTGCCTTAACAGTATCAGTATGTTTTATGTCTCAGTTTACACTTGTTGAACGTGTTTCAAACATGACAGATTCTTCTGGGAATGTGAAGATTCCTCTTTGAGTTTCATGAGTCCAGTGCTATCCTCTTTTCTTCCTCCTACCAACAATTGTTATATAATCGCTGAATATTTCTTCTAGATTAGAGTTTTTCATACCAGGGATCATAACCAGTTTGTAATTCATAAAATCCACTTGGGGGTTTTGATCAGGAAAATAGAAGAAAAATAGTAGAAATCACTCTTTTTTACATCTATCAATGTGTGTTTCTGTGTGTGTATTGTATCATAACAATTTCTCACCATGGATCGTAGTCAGAAATGTTTTAAAAAACTATGCTTTAGGTGATACCAAAACGTAATTCAGGATAGATAAGAAAAATCAGTAGGAATAAGTAACACAATGCAAAATAATATCAATTTGGAGATAGCAACTTTCAGATAAGGGGGGAAGAACAATAAGTCTTAGAGCTGTGTTTCCTACACAGTCTAGAGGAAGTTTTCTTGAATGATTTCACAAAGGACAACAGACTTGAACTACTTTGAGGATAAGCCCCGAGAAAGGGGGAGTGTGTTCCTGGAAGAAGAAATGCTTCAAGGAAAGCTCCTGTTGCCGGAGAGTAACAAAAGGCAGGGATCAGCTTTGAGGCCCTGAAATGTCCCTGTGTAGATTAAGTTGAAACTCAGTGAAAAAGAACCTTGAACACAAGCTGAGGGGTGTTAGCCACGACACTAGGGTGACTGACACTAGTAAATATTGTGGAATAAAGGAGAGACTAATTGAAGGGAATCTATATTAAGATTTCCTACAGCAGTGGCGTCCAGGAAATATTATAAAGGAGAGGACACAAGTGGAAAGGAAGCTTTAATCAACAGAAGTGGAGTATGAGTGTGGAAGGGTCAGAAGCACAGAATGCGGGCACCTCGCCCAGGAGGATCCAGCAGCCCAGACCTGGAACCTTCCACACTGCACACCTTACAGCCTTGCTGCTTCTTCCCCCTTTCAATAAACCCAGACCCAATCTTTCTTGGTTTCACCAGCAGCCAAGAAAATGCTAAATTTCCTGATTTGCTGATCCCTAGATTTTTTTTTTCTCTCTCATTTTTTTTTTTTTTTTAACTTGCTTTGTTTCTTTTTGGCTTGGGGTTGTTTTTTTCATCTTTCATTTTCCTTTCCCTTGAGCAGTAATATTTAATTCTACAGCAGAAATTTACTCTAATGATCTTTCTTAACTCTTAGGCCATTTTCTTTTATTTTTTAGTATTTTCTCATGAATTCGATTTCTAGCTTATTTATTTATTTCCTTGTAGCAAAACCTTTTTGCAAATGCATCCTTATGTGGACACTCAAATAAATGAATCTGCCAGCTCTGGGGTAGCTCAGGGTGGAAGGTGACCGGGGCGGTTTCATTCTGTCTCAGAAGTAACACTGAGCAACGCTGAGTATTTTCTAAGGCACTGCAGGATCAGAGCTGGAAAGCACTTTCTTAGGTAGCCTGCAAGTTTTCATTTAAATAAGAAATGGCGGGACACCTGGGTGGCTCAGTGGATTAAGCCGCTGCCTTCGGCTCAGGTCATGATCTCAGGGTCCTGGGATCGAGTCCCGTATCGGGCTCTCTGCTCGGCAGGGTGCCTGCTTCCCTCTCTCTCTCTCTGCCTGCCTCTCCATCTACTTGTGATCTCTCTCTCTGTCAAATAAATAAATAAAATCTTTAAAATAAATAAATAAATAAATAAATAAGAAATGGCTTTGGTGCCTCACCAGATGAAAGTGAACATTAAGGCTGGCCAAGACTACATGGGGAAGAACATCTCCTTAACAATTGGAAGCTGGTCTAAATCTCAGGGAAATTAATTGCAGAATAATTCCATTTTTTTGATACCCCATAAGAGGACACAGTTACTGCAGTTCAAAAATTCCCATTTTTAAAATGTCTTCCTTCGTGGCACTTTGTTTTCTGTGTCCCATTACTTTCATGATCATTGAAGGGAGCTTTTCTGTGTTGAGAAAAACAACAGAAGATTCCTTTTCTGCCAGAAAAAATGTAACCAGAAAAAAGTTGTGGTAAAATTAGGAATTATTTTAATTATCGGATTTTAAATAAAGTCTGGCTTTTCTACATAAACCCATTCTCAACATGAGCACAACATACCTATTTCCTATGGTTATAAAAAATAGATTAGTATTTTTATTTATGGATTTTTTTCTTCTGAAATATAGATCCATTCCTTTCTGTTATTTGATAAACAAAAGCAGCATCAGGCAAAATTAAGGCTTATTCAAAATGATGCCATAAGAATATTTAAATTCTGGAGAAAAATTAGTTAACTTCATTATCTTGAATTATGCAGGCTTTGCAGATATTTCTTTGAATTGTTAATCTTTTCCTATTCAGTGATAGTTGTGTAACACCATTAAACATCTAGGAGGCAAGGCCTCTTCTTCCCTTTTAAGCATCTAAAATTAAAGAATAAGATCTTATTGTCTTAAACTCTGCTCTATTAGAAAAGCAGGCACAGAAAAAATTATTGGTAATATAACGTAATATACAAAGAAATAAAATCCACAAGTTCTTAAATATTCTTACATTTCAGACTAACAACTCTATTTTTAAATAATGATTCCACCTACTGCTAATTATTTGGTAAAATGCAAGAGACATTTTCTAACAAATTCATCAATTGATTTATTTTCAAAATCCCGGTAATTGTATTCATGAACGCTAACAACATTTACCATTTTTCTAAGAGTATAAATTTAGTTTACAAATGTAACTGGCCATTCACTGCATGATTTTTCTTCTAAATGAATTTTAGACAGGCCGGAACTTTAACCATGGAAAGAATGAACCTCACATTTACTAGTAATTAGCATGTGCCTGGGAGCTCTCAATTAAATTAGACATACACTAGTCTGTTCAGTTTCAAGTAAAATGGAAACGAAGGTTGAGGCTCTTTATGAGACTAAAAAAAAAGTACTGATAAATTATTGAATAATAACATATTCTAGATTTCTTTTTTTTTTTTTTTTTTAAGAATTTATTTATTCATTTGACAGAGAGAGATCACAAGTAGGCAGAGAGGCAGGCAGAGAGAGAGAGAGGAGGAAGCAGGCTCCCTGCCAAGCAGAGAGCCCTATGCGGGACTCGATCCCAGGACCCTGAGATCATGACCTGAGCCGAAGGCAGAGGCTTAACCCACTGAGCCACCCAGGCGCCCTATTCTAGATTTCTTAAAACAAAAAAATATTCATGGAATATTTTGATATCCCTTTAAGCTTCAAATCAACTATGATCTTGGAAATCTCATAATCCATATTCTCCAAGCAAGAAACCTTGTCCCTCGAGACAACAACGGTTACTCGGACCCCTTCGTGAAAGTGTACCTTCTTCCTGGGAGAGGGTGAGTAAAGACACAGTGTCTTCTAAGGATTGCATCGCATGGATTAAAAACCAGTGTTAGTGTTTCTAGTCTCCAGTTTTAAAGAGTTTAATATCTTTCCCTCAGTTTTATTCACATGTCATATTCATTTATTTCCAATTATTAGATAAGGTGGAAATAAAAATTTGCAGTTAAGTCCTGAAGTGTTCCAGGAGAGTCTTGATCATACTAAATCCTGTCTTGACGACACATGTCCGTCTTTTGAATCTAGAAACCACTATAACCAATCAGATGGACTCTGAAATCATTTAAGGTATTATTTGTGGTGGATTTAGAGAATTTAGCTTTACCTGCCCAAATTCATTTGCAAAACTACTGTTCAGCAATTCATAAATTACTGTTTTATCTTATAGGATATCATTATCTAGCCCATTACACGTTCATTAATTGACTTATTGATGTCTCATTTATATGTGTATTTTCAAATCATTGTTTTAAAAATTATAAAATAAGAGTAATATTTGAAATGTGGAATATTTAAAAATGTTTACAAAGTATGGTAAATATTTGGTAAATAGATGAAAAATATCTCTGAATCTCATGTGATATACAAACTGTTCATATAAAGCAAGTGCTCGTTGGAGATGTTTAATTTTCACATGATAAATGCAAATTGCTATATTCTGGTATATAAATCAGTACTCAAGGATGGCTTCAAAACAGTGATTTGGACCCAACAGATCATTATACCTTATCTGAACAATTTATCGTAGCCAAATTAGCATGATGGAACCATAAATAATCAACAATTGGGGGTATAATAAAAAGAATTTGGGACTGGTAATTTGAAGGCTCTGGTTTTATTTTTTATTCATTTTTCATTTAACTTGAGGATTGACATTTAAATATTACTTTTTACTTGGAAATTTTGAATTGTTGCATGTGAATAGAAAGAATAATGTTGTGACCCACCACATACTCATTACTCAGCTTCAACAGCTGTTACTTCCTAGCCAATCATGTCTCATTTTTACCCTCATATACTCCCTCTATATAGATTATTTTTAAAAGATCTAAAACTAATGATGCACTATATGTTGGCTAGTTGAATCTAAATTAAAAAAAATGATCTCAAGTCATAACTTTTTTCTGCAAATATTTTACTATGTATTTCTAAAAGATAACTCATTTAAATACCACATATAATCATTATAATTTTTAAATGTTTAAATAACTCCTTAGTTTCCCCAGATGCCTCATAATAATTTCCTATTTGGTTTGAAGACCTAATTAATATTTATAGAACATTTTCTCATTAATAGCAGAATAATGTATTCTTTTCAAGCCCACCAAAAACATTCACCAAGAAAAACTATATTGTGGGCCATAAAACAAACCTCAAAAAATGTAAAAGCACTGAAATCATACAAAGCATGTTCTTGGAATATAGCTGGTTTGTTTGAACAGGGTCAAAACTGAGTTATTTGTTACCTTTGAATCTGCTGTTTGTTGACTAATTACATTACCACCAGCAGATCACCATTTCTTTTGAGATTAATTTTTCTTGTCAATAGTGACAGAGCCAAGCAAGCAGAGCCAATAGTTTTGTCTGTCGGGATATCAAATATACTCAGAAAATAATTTGAAAATTTCCAGGTGTTATATCAAATTAAGGATACAGCCTTTAATTTCATCCTAATGATTTTTATGTAGAAATTTAGAATTGCTGGTTTTGTGATTCTAGTTTTAATTCATTAAATCTAATATATAGGGGTCACCAATAGAGCACAGGAAAGGGGAGTTTTCATTTTATGTTCATTTAAATCTTTAGTAGTTACAACTGCAATTTGGCTATCTTTTTTAAATTTGAGTATAACGACAACAAACTGATAACTTCATTCTGCTTTTGATTGGGTCATTAGATCTTCCCTATTATTTAATGACAATATTATGGGACAAGAAGAAATCACTGCCAAGGGTATATCCCTAATTAGCATCTGCTAATGAATGAATGAAAATAAAGCAGTGTCTTTTACTTTCTGTCTTCTCTAATAATATCCTGGAGAATATCACCTTTTATACTCTATGAGAGTCCCTATCTTTTATTTATTATAGATTTACTTAGACTATTTTTTTCAATTAGACTATTACATCCTTGAATAACCTGAAAGGGCAGTCAGATAACAGGAATATGTCAGTTATTCTGGAATGAGTAACAGGGAAGGAGGGAACTAGAGTGAAATAAAGAGTGATTTTTCCCACCTAAAGCCATCCCCCATATTTTGTCAGACAAAGCATGCCTGCTGGGTGGGATTTGCCCCACAGGGAGCTAATCAACTACCTTTATTCAGTCTGAAAACCTTTCCTTAAATTACTCCTACAGATTACAGTGGCCAAGGCATTTGGCTGTTATTTGGCTTAGAGCTGTTATTTTCACCGCAGCTCCAAGACTCTTTTCTGCCTCATGTTGTTTTTATGTTAAGGTGTAGCTCCTCCAGTTATTATTCTCGTATTTTCTTCCTTATTTCTGTTCCTAACTTTTTTTCTTCCTGTCTTTCCGACTTGCCTGTTGTATCCTTCACTCTCACTCTCGGAATCAATGCAGTCAAGTCATGGTTGTCCAGAATGCAAGGTAGAGTTGGTTCTCTTTCAGTATCAAGCTACGCTGTAATGTCTATTTTTATTTTTATTTTTTTGCCTATTTGTGTATATTCACCTGCCATTTGGCTTGGGCTATAATTTGCATCTTTTTACATGTTGGTATCTATTGAATTAGGCCACCAGCAAATTGTTCGGATTACAACATTACTGAACAGGTTTGGCAGATATGTGGCATAGAATACTGAAAGGTAGAAAATATTAAAAACAGGAAAAAAATATGAATAAGGAAATACCACCCTGAAATTAGGTGTAACTGGTTTTTCCTATATAATTTGTCCACTAAGATTCTTTTCACTTCTCATGTGATAACCATGGCTTAAGTTCTTCTGGGTCGTCTATTACAAATTAAAGTAAAATCTAGAGTCATTTTTCACAAGAAACTAACTGACCTTCCGGATGTCCAGTACTGGGCATGAATGTCATCCTAAATACCATAGTTCTCTAGTCTTTTTCTCTTACTTAGACCTCATATCGAAACATTTCCATGCCTTTATACTTTCTGCACCGCAAAGACAGCTCCATGCAGTAGGACGCCATTATTGGCCTGCTCTCCCACATTGGCAACAATGTGAGAGCTTCCTCCTCTCTTTGCCAGTAGTAGGAAACTGTCTTCTAATAGAGCTCACAACGTGGCACATCATTACATGGTCAGCTAAGGGTAGCTTTCAGATACATAACTAAACACATTCTTCTGCACATCTCATTACATTATATATTAAATGTATTATTTAGTTGGGGAGGTGAATCTAGCACCATCTGTAGCAATGGGCTGATGAGAGTTTTAATCCCACCCAGAATATTAATGGTACAGGATTTGGTTTCGTCTGCAACATTAAAATCTGACATCTTTACTAATCCTGATGAGCTGATGCCCAAAAGAGGTTGTTTCTGATTTTGAAAGGTATAGATATTTAAATATTGTAAAGAATAGGATTAGTCACCGCACTCTTTCTAGTGGCCAGAAACTTCGTGTTTCCTTGCACACAAGATCATGGTAAATTGGATCCTGTGATAGATTGCTTATTATGACTAGTTCCCTCATCTCAGGACACCACCCAGATCACTCATCCAGATAGGTCTCAGACTGATGTGCAAAATTAGTTTGGTTGAAAAAGATAGTGTCATTTTAGGACAGACATTATCAGTCACTTTATTCAGAACCTTCCTATCCTTTATCTAGACAAACTGGGGGGAAATTGTCAGAATGACAATGATTGTCCGTCTTTAATTTAGAAAAGAGCATGTTTTGTAAATGTAGATAATGGTTGAAACAGTCCGGGATGTTCTGGTTACAATTTCAAAGATCTAGAAGGCACTTTCTCACCATGTGTTTCAACTAGAAGTCATTTCCATCATCTCTTTGAGAACTGTCAGTGCAAGAAGAACTAATAATAACAAGGTACTGACACTGAAATTTTGGCTCAGGAGGCCACTGAATAAAGTCCTAAAGAACTTGGGTTTGAATTTCAGCCCTGCCTCTTGGAAGTTGTGAGATTTCTCTAAAATGATCTCCTCTTCTGCTAAATAAGAATAATAATAACACTCCCTTAGGTTTTTTATAAAATAGATGGAGTAATAAACCAGAAGTAATAAGCATAATGTCTGACACATAATAGGTTCTCAATAAATGGCACTCGATAGTATCCTCGGTGTTATGTACAGTTACATAATAACTTAGGGTATACCCCTAAATTATCTTAGGTTATACCCCTAGAATTTCCAGAAGCGACTCTGAAACTGACCTAAAATTGTTGTGATATGTGTATATATACAAATGGATATAATTTATATTCAGGAAATATACATATGTGTATATATGTATACACACATACACACACGCACACACACACACACACACACATATATATATATATTTAAATTGAGGTGAAGACCTTTAGATTGTAGGGTAGATTATAGGAAAGGCTACCTAGATACTTCAGCTTAAGAAAGTTGCAAGTAAGAAAGTTGATAGATTATTCTTATTTTATGATCGGCTACATCAAGTCGCCCGTGATCAGTTATTCCCACAAAAACATGATGTGGAATGGTTGGGCTATAGAATTATACAAAATTATTTAACAATACTGTTAGGAAACCAAACAACTTTGTTTTCTTCAATCATAAAATATAATACATTTGTCATTCTTAAAATTAAAAAAAAATAAATTCCTGTTCGCTAATAAGAATTTCACTGGTCCAATTTTCTCCTCTCCTCTCATTCCCTCTTCCCATCCTCGGAGCACTATACTCAGAAGCTCTGAAAACCCAGTTGTCAGCCCCGTGAGGAGGGGAAACAAGGAAAGAGCCTCCAGAGTGCATGAACTCAGTCCTTGTCCCTGGCTAACTAAGAAGTGGAAAAGAGCAAATCTGAAGGATCTCATTCTCGTTTTCTCTCATTATACTGTTTGACAAAGTACAGGCCTTTTGCCATGAGTGAGATTTTGCTCTGATTGAAGCTGATTTTCATTATCATGATAGCTGGAAGTTCAGTTCCGGACCGGACTTTCTCTAAACGTCCTTGTTAACATATCCGACTATTTCCTCCAGGACCTCTATAAAGCAGGGACAGGTGTTGCATGCATTTAATTCAAAGGCCAAAGCTTTTTTCATTTCAATTGATTTTAAGGGAAAAAAATAGAAGTATATTTTAAGGATTCTTCCAATGAACATTTCTTTAGCACAGAATGTTCTAGACACTGTGCGAAGTGCTCAGGGTAGATAGAACTGACAAATGGCCACATAGGCTCTGACTTCAGGGAGCACAGACAGTCAAGTGATGTGCCAAAAACACGCTGCCCAGAACAGTACGGCTCATAAAACGGGATATGATTGGAGCTTCTTTCTAAATTAAAGGAAAATCCTTAGAGGAGTAATTAAAAATAAATTGTGCATGTGTGTGTGTGCGCGCGTGCGCGCGTGCGTGTAATTTCCAATAAAGGAAAACCAAGTAAAACAAAAGAAATGAAAACCTTCAGTATTTCAGTTAATTCTATGAAAGAGAAATACAAAGAAGCCATCATATTCCATTCATCTTTCTTACTTTTTTTTGAAATTAGAAAGAGAAACTCAGAGAATTCCTTTTCTGCTGGTATAGGGGAGAATAATTGAATTTCATCTATCTTTTTCTGCCTGTCGTAAAAGCATGTCTACTCCTGAGGAGGTAATTAGTAAATAATTTAAAAAATGAAAGAGAAAAGAAGTTAGTCAAAACTTCAAGAAGATGAAGGTTAATTTTTTTATTAGCACCATGACCCATCTTGATTAATTGACTTTTTATTTTCCCTTATTAAAAAACTTCTTTGATTATTAGATATAGCCTAATTGTCCTAATATAATATCATTATTGCAATCTTCCAATGAGGGAATATAATGTGTTTTCCAGACAAAGAAGGGAGAGGAAAATGGGCTCTACTTTTTTCCCAACCTAATTCAGGCTCACATTTAAGAATCCCACTGCTTACCTGGTCACCTTCAACTTGTCAGTCCAGATTTTGATGTGGCTATGAGAAGTGCCAGCAGTTTTCAATTGTGTAAAGTAGAAACACAGCCCATTGAGACACAGCCCATTGAGATCAATGCTCAAGATGGTCAGTTCGTGGCAGTTCTAAAGGGTTAAAAGGACTGGCTTGCTGCCTTCGGCTCAGGTCATGATCTCAGGGTCCTGGGATCGAGTCCCGCATCGGGCTCTCTGCTCAGCAGGGAGCCTGCTTCC